CCCTCCCCCTTGTCCCCCCCCCAATATGAAGATAAATATTTGCTTCTGCGTTTCTTTACACCAACATTTCCCAGAAGGCATTGTTAATGAAGTTGTATCTTTGAATCTTTGTATCTTTGCCACAGTCTTATCCTGTCTCCCTGCGTCCCCCCCCCCCCCCCACATTCATCAGGTCTTCACCCCCACGCCCTCCTCACCGTATGTCTTCCTCGCCGGCGAAGGTCACCACGGCTCTGGAATGCTGCGACTCCAGCAGCTGTTGGACGGCTTTGTCATAATCCTCCAGCCGGGGATTGTGGGGGATTTTTATAGACTGGGCGAGGCAGATCCCACCTTTATCATGAGAGGAGAGGGGGAAAGTGATCAGGTCGGGGGGGGGGGTCAACAGTAACAAAACCACACCCATAAATGTAGGTCGGACCAGGTGATGTGAAGGCCTCGTCACCTGGTACATATCTCTCTGTCTCCTGGTCCACTCCATGGTTCCCTCCACCGTGTTTCTTACCCCCTTGATTACATGCACCTGCCCTCTACCCCCCCCACCCTCACTACAATCTGTCATGTCTGACCGCCTGGTTCCAGAGGCTGGACCAATCAGAACACAGCAGCCATGGTCACAGTTTGGTCAAAGTTCTGTACAGAGAATGAAGAAGACTCCTAACAGGCTGCTGGCTAACAGGCTAACAGGCTGCTGGCTAACAGGCTAACAGGCTAACAGGCTGCTGGCTAACAGGCTAACAGGCTCTGCACAAGTCACTCAATTATTGAACGTGTGGAACAGCTCATCAGTCAGTCAGTCTTCTAATGAGGGCAGTCTAACGGAGGGAAAGACTGAACTTTGAAGGCTGTGGACAGAGGGGACAGAGAGGACAGAGTCCTGGGACTGGGCTGAGGGTCTAAGCAGTAACACAGAACCTGCAGCTCTGTATGTAAATACTGCAGTACTGTAGAGCGTTACTCCTGTGATCCTGGGACCTTATTTTAAATGTACTGTCCAGGCAGAAAAACATGTCTGTGTGTGTGTAAACGCAGCAGGTCACTGAATTCAGAGAGGAGGTGAAGAGGAGCTGCAGGAGTTCAGGGGGGAGGAAGGGGAGAGGAGAGGGGGGAGAAAGAGATCTATAACGGTCTATAAAGGTGGACCATCAGCTCAGAGTAATGGTCAGCCATATTGGATTAGTCTGTTGGATTGATCTCCAGAACCAGAACCAGAACCAGAACCAGAACCAGAACCAGACTAATGGATCTGACGTTAGACTGCAGCCAAACACAGTAACATCAGAGTGAATACTACAGTAACATCAGTTTTTGTCAGTAATCAAATGTGTTTTTCTTTCTTCTCCCCCTCTCTTTCTCTCCCCCCTCTCTTTCTCTCCCCCTCTCTTTCTCTCTCCCTCTCTCCCTCTCTTTCTCTCTCCCTCTCTTTCTCTCTCCCTCTCTTTCTCTCCCCCCTCTTTTTCTCTCCCCCTCTCTCCGCCCCCCCCCTCTAATCTGTCTCATGATGCAGATTACGTAGCCACAAACTTCTTTGCGTTTTAATGAGTAATGGCGGTGCACACACACACACACACACACACACACACATCAAATATTCATGTGATCTCTGCCCTGGGACGTCATTAACTTCCTTCATTTTAAATCTTTCCACACATTAGTCTGTAGAAAAGACAGGAAGTCTCCTCCACAGACACACCAACAGACTGACAGACAGACACACCAACAGACAGACACACCAACAGACAGACACACCAACAGACAGACAGACAGACACACCAACAGCAACAGACAGAC